TATATGCTTTCTTTCCCCAAATTAAAAAACCTAGTGTTTAAAACATACTGGCTGGTTATTCTCTCTAAAACGTTATTTAAATTTGAATGCTCCCTCTCAGAAGTTTTAAAACATATCACTTGTGGCCATAATTTAAACAAAATTATTACTTTTTGATCCACAAAAATATGATCCTTCCCCCTCTAAATTAATCAACACAGTATCATAATGTGATTTCTCTCCTTTTTGCAGATACTTTAAAAGAAGTAAAACTTTAATTTTCTCTGGAGAATAAAGACACTTCTGTGCAAAGTGGTATACTTACCTCTCAAGCTTTTTCTCTATTATAGGTACATCTAATCCCATGGCTTGCTTGGTGATCTGCAGCATCTCCGCAATGCACTGAAGGGTATCTGAAACCCAAATGTAATTGCTTGCCACTTTATCAAAAACATTTAAAAACTAGCAGTTCTAACTCAGAACTCTAAATGGAATTTTTAATTTTCTAATAATAGCTTGTTATAACTTACAGAAACATACTACTTGTTCTTCACTCCCCTCACTAATTCAAAATGTTCTAAAATGTTAACAGGAAACTAAATGAACAACAAAAGAACCAAATCAATTGGAATTAAAAGTTTATTCACGAACTCTCATCTGTCCAAACACTGTGCTAGACACTGAGACAACAGGCGCAAACAAGACAGGCGTTGTCCCTGACTATTATCCATCCATGAGGGGGATGTGGTGGGAAAAGCCATCACACTCCAATGGCCAAACACACTGAGAATTCCCACAACAGATTCCCTTGCCCAGACTCTCATTGATTCAGTGTCCCTGAACTGCTGGGAACAAAGCTGCTATTTCAAGATCTCAAATCACAAAGGTATTTCTCCTGATCACTCACTTGTACGTACAGTCCCCAGTTCCACTTGGGCTTATAAAAGCAGGTAAGTTAGAACTGAATACTTTCATCTCTATTACCTTTTCCATCCTCTTCTGGGTTGCGCATTACAGCTCTCAGTGTGTGGAAATAGCCACTTGCTTCTTTGTATCTGTAGTGCAATCGCATGCAGGAGAACTTTGGCTTACCAAAAAGAGTGGGTTCAGGACCTAAATATCCAAATGAATATATGTTAATCTTTCACATAACATTCACTTTCTTCTGTATCTTCAAAATACTGATATTTTTTATATTATCCAAAATACTGATCTTTAAAACATTGATGATTGAGTCATCAATCATTTAGCACTTTTATTCATCTGAATAAGCACACACACTTATATCATGATGACTTGGTCTAATAAGACTATAAATAAAAATTCTTCAGTCTCAAATATTTAAACTTTCTAGACCCCAGGCTTGATCTTCACAGGACAAGTAATGAAAGAAACAATTATTATTAGACTATATCCACCACTCATCTCTAAAATATAGAAGGGAATCTTAAGAAATGGACTACTTAGACCACTCCTTTCTGATTCCAATAAGATGTTATACCAGCTGCTTAAGTAACAACCCACTCTTGGAAGAAACAGTATTTGCTTTCTATGACCTGGTTAGTATCTTAAAAATTTACCTATTTCTATTTTTTCCAGGTCTTCTAGACTTAGCCGTTGATACTGGTTTACTTTGTCAACTTCATCATCATAACTAGACAAAGGGAAAGGGAATAAGAAGAGGATTAAAATTAAAAGCACATTTGGCTGGTCAGCTGAGGCATAATAGCAACAACCATTACGCAGGTAAAGTCCTCCACAACAATACATTCTGGGATAAAGAGTTAAATATTTTAAAAACTAGATGAAGTGTTATATATATAATACACACACACACACATATATATAGTTCAATAGCTAAATGAAAATCAGTGTATAGATCTTACACTAAAAGAAATCAATTACAAAACAAAATTAAGTTCAGTTTTACAAAAGCTCTTACAAAAACTAAAACCAACAAGCCTAAAACTTAACGTAAAAGGAAAGCAAAACACATACTGAAGCTACATATTCCTGATTTGGCAGATAAATCTGATATCCCAAATAGAAAACGATCAGTGCCAATAGGCACCTGGGCCAAGGACTGAAAAATGACAGTTCATACCAGACCAAAAGGAAAGTGACTGTGTATTTGAAAAAAATAATTCTGGTTAAGGCTGTGACGAAGTACTTGTATTTCTGCTAGTGGCATTGTTAACGGGGTGTCGTTTCTAAGGCATAAAAAGTCATAATTCATCATATCCTTAGAATCAGAAGTGCATGTGTACACATAAACAGTTATCTGCACACAGCTGTCTCATTCATAGCAAAAAAGATTAAAGTATTTTAATGCCTAACAATGAGGAAACACTTAACTATGGTATCATAATAAAAAGTCATGGTATATGGTCAATTACAGCAAAAATATATAGAATACATCAGAACTTGAGATCTATAGGAGATACTATCAAATACTCAGCACTATTATAAAAATACACTGACTATAAATAACTCTAAAATCACATTTTCAAATTGATAAAAGTCAGAGTGATATAGCAATTATGTAAGATAAAGGGGTTCAGTGAAATTTCTTAAAATGTATAGCAAAACTAGATTCTTAACTTTTTGTGTTACAAAATCTAAGAAGGATATTTACTCACATTAAAAGGGAGTAAAAGCTTTAAATCAATAAGCAACTTACTAGGCCACGTAGTATGCAGAGTTAGAAAGCAGTAACAGCACATCCACATCTCTGTGAGTAGCATCAATGAGGCTAAACAAACATGACACAAGGAATTAAATATTTTCATTTTCATCTACATTTTTTCTATAGCAGATCCCCTTATGATAAAAGACTGGTGGGGGCTAGCGTGGGGGGGAAAATCAAGTAATCAATGAGTCCTGCTTCTGAAGTTAAATGTACACGGTCTATCCACTTGGAGATTAAAAAAACCAAACCAAACCAGGAACACAGTTCAGGAAGGTGGGAAGGACTGGAGCTGAGGAGCAGCCAAGGAGAAGGGAGGGTTCAGGAAAACAGGTAACAGAATGTGGGGAGGAGGGGGAACTGCACGATGGTGGAGGGGGTAAGGATTGTAAAGACAGGAAAATATCAGGCTGAGAAAAGAGAAATTGTCTAGATCACCATCTCACATGACCTAATCTTCAAGTTACACTGCACATTTACCTTATGTTTACACTCATGCAGAATGTATCCTTTGAAAGACTTTTACGTAAATACAACATTTATGTGCAAAAATAGAACCAAGCCCAAACTATTTTGCTTTTTTTTTTAACTACAGATTAACTTACACAGCTTTTAGATAATGAGTAAACATTTCTTTATTCTAAGTCCACTTTGCTGTATTTTATCTCCACTCTAAAGTCAAATATCAGAATAAGGGTTAGAAACAGTACTGATGAACCATTAGACCAAATACTAATTTTTTTAAAAAAATATCAACATATGAAATCCACAAATACTCAACAGGTAACATGGGCAGAATCTGAACTCAACCTTTTAATCAAATATTCATCTACTATTAAAACAGCTTTTCAATCAAAAGATGAAAATTAATCTGCACACTTATATTGGTTCTCAAAATTCCACTGCTGAAGTAGATATTTCTATCTTAGAATAGAAATACCTTAGAATTTCATAGCTATTTGCAAAAACTGACCAAATGCTACTGGAAAACAATAGGGGGAAAAATGACTAGTAGATGGAATTTAAAGTCACATACATAATCTGCCTAAGAATGAGGTCACTGTTTAACAGGTACTGCAAAGAAAATTTCACCAAGACCTTAAATTGCAGTGTTTTACATCAGGGGCATCTTGTTGCACCATAACTGGAACAATCTTAATCTGAAATAACTGACCTCAATTTTCACCAAAAATAAGCCCCCCAAATACAACTAATTAGATTGAATAAGTCAGAACCCAATTAATACACAGATTGATCCAAAATACGAGCAATAACTTAACCAACCAACCAACCGGCAAGAGAAAACCATCTATTCTACGATCTTGGCAGCCTCACCGAGAATAACGTAGACGAACAATTTAGTTTTGCGCATTGGTGCTTACCTGCACTCTTAAAACTGTCGCTTGAGCCAAGCCATAAAAATTACGTCACGACACGTAGTTTACTATGAAAAAAAATTTCTACACCTACGAAGTAGTGCTACTTTATCACAGCGTCTATTTTGACACGAATATTTACATTGGTCAAACATGATCTCAGTCAAAAGCATTACGTCTAGAAAGAAAAGCACTTGGCACGTCACAGGCAATCGAGAAAGAAGTCAGCCCTCCCCCCACCCGCATTTTTACTTAAGTATAAGCTGCAGTAAATACTTAATTTCCCGCCCCACCACCCTCTGCCCCACTTAAACAGAAATTTAAAAAACCTAACCCCCACTTTTTTTTTTAAACAGACGAAAGAAAAAACCCCTTTCGGTGCTCCCCCGCCCCTCGCCTGCAGCTCGGAGGGAAGGGCTACGCTACTCGTTTTTCTCTTCCCGCCAGTCAGGCATGCCCTCCTTCCACACGATGAACACAAACACCGCCAGCACCACATGCAGCCCCACCACCGCGACAATGGTCGCGTAAAAGCCACTGTCATCAGGGGACATTAACAGGAGGCTTTGGAAGAGCAGCAATTTGCAGGAAAAATACAACCCCACAGGAACTTTAACCATCAGTCCTGCAAAAAGGAGAAAAATCTTGAAAGTGGTCGCCAGGCTGCCGCCTTCGGGCTTGGGCTCGGCAGCGTTGCCGGCAGCATTGCCTGTGGCGTTCGCCTGCCGCTGAGCGGTTGGAGGAGGCCGGTGGGAGCGCGGCATCTGGTCGGTCGGTTGGTCGGTCGGTCAGTCAGTCCGTCAGTCCGTCCGTCAAGCAGTCGAAGCTCAGTCAGAAACCTGCGCCAGACCTCACGCCCGCAGCCACTGCGGCAACTGCAGCGCGGCCGCGCCAAGTCCCGCCCCCAAACACAGTGCACTTCCGCCGCCCACGCTCGCCGCGGTGTGCGCCCAGTGCGCAGGCGCAGCACATCCAGCACCGCCCACGTCCCGAGGAGGGCGCGGCCCCGGCCATCCCCGAGGGAAGCGGAGGTAGGTTCTGGCCCGGTCCGGGTCCGGGGAGGGTGCATGCACGCACGCCTTGCTGAAAAGCCGTCCCTCCTGCCCGGAGGGCCACTGGCGGGGGTCTGCGGCACTGTGACTAAGCGCCTCCCCGCACTGCCGCGCGCCTGAGAGCAGGTTGCCGCGCGCCTCGTGAGTCCACTAACACGGGTACCAGGAGTCAGCTGCTCTCAATGTAAGAAAAAGCGAGTCCGAGTTGGACAAAATAAAGAGTGGGCTTTGTGCAGATGCTGAAGGGCACCTGGACGGTCCCCCGATTTCCTGTCACATTAACGATTCCTCCTCCAGCCACAGGTGCACCACGTGGCGCTTATGGGCTGTCACCTGAGTCAGCTCTCCCCGCGGCAGCGGCGGCCGCGTGGACAGGAAAGGGTGCGGGACAACCCATGAGGTCTAATCTGTGTACGCCAGCAGCTGTCTGCGGGGAATTAACTGAGCTGTGCTCGGGGGTTTAACATAAAAAGGCCCGAGGGTGGGCTCCAGGTGGCTGGACAGTTCCAGCTGGAGCCCTGGGAGATCAAGGAAAAGGGAAGGGCAGCCATTCTTGCTGCCTGGGCAGGACCGAGCATTTATAGAGCTCCCCGTAACTGTTTTTCTGCCGTATGTTTAAAATTAAACAGGACCATAACTGCAGTGAAGTCAGTGAGGCACTGGTTTCTGGCGCAAAATTTATGGGGGTGCCAAAAAAACCCTGACATCAACGAAAGTTTTTAATGCAGTATTTTTAAAAAATCAAAATTAATGCAAACATACCATGATAAACAAAACATCCAACATATGCATGAGACAAGTGTTCAGGCCTGGTGCACTGGGAAGACCCAGAGGGATGGGGTAGAGAGGGAGGTGGGAGGGGGGATCGGGATGGGGAATACATGTAAATCCANGTGGAGAGGGAGGTGGGAGGGGGGATCGGGATGGGGAATACATGTAAATCCATGGCTGATTCATGTCAATGTATGACAAAACCCACTACAATATTGTAATTAGCCTCCAACTAATAAAAATAAATGGAAAAAAGAAAAAAAAATCCAACATTTCAAATAAAGATAAGATCTGACTCTGCAACCTGTCCAACCCTGTCTCCCTTGTCTCATCCTAATCCCAGCTCCGTTTCAGTGAAGCTTTTTTGAAAAAAACATGTGGCCCAAGTCAACAACAAAAAAAGAAACCCAGTTTTTTAAATGAGCAAAGGACTTGAATAGACGTTTTTCTGAGGAAGACATACAAATATCCAAGAAACCCAAGAAAAAATTTTCAACATCATTTATCATTAGGGAAATGCAAATCAAAATGCAATGTGACAGTACTTCACATCCACTAGGATGACTACAATAAAAAACATGGGGGGAAAAGGGGAAAAAAAAGTGTGGGTGAGGATATGGAAAAACTGGAACCCTCCCACATTATTCGTGGAAATGTAAAATGGTGCAGCCACCAAAGAAAGTAGTTTGGTGGTTTCTTAAAAGTTAAGCATAGCAGCCTGGCAATCTCCCCTCCCAGGTGTACACCCCAAAGAAAAACAGGTGTTCAAACAAAAACTTGTCTCTAAGTATTCACAGCATCACTGTTTGGAACAGAAGAGCCAGAAGGTGGAAACATAAATGCCCAAAAGAAGAGTAAAAAAAACCATGGTCTATCCATACAGTGAAATACTATTCAGCCATGAAAAAGAATGAAGTTCTGCTACATGGCACAACGCCATGAACCATGAAACATTATGCTAAGTGAATGAAGCCACAGTCACAAAGGCCACATAGTACATGATTCTGTTTATATGAAGTGTCCAGAATTCACATATCCGGAGAGAGAAAAGTAGTAGATTAGTGGTTGCTTAGGGGATGAAGTGGGGATAGAGTACAAGAATTCTCTTTGTGGTGATAAAAATTTCTAAAACCACAATGATGGTCTTACAATTCTGAGCATATTCTAAAAACCACCCAATTATATACTTAAAATGGATGAAATGTATGCTATATGAATTACATCTCAATAAAGGTATTTTGGGGCTTCCTGGGTGGCAGCAGTGGTAAAGAACCTCCCTGCCAATGCAGGAGACACAAGAGACACGAGTTCGATCCCTGGATTGGGAAGATCCTGGAGGAGGGCATGGCAACCCACTCCAGTATTCTTGCCTGGAGAATCCCACGGACAGAGGAGCCTGGCAGGCTACAGTCCACAGGGTCGCAGAGTCAGACACAACTGAAGCAACTTCACACACACACACACACACACACACACACACACACATTTTCTATACATGCAGCTGGAGGCAGACAGGCGCGAACTGCTGCACCCCCAAGCCTGAGGGACTGAGGCCACCGCAGGCTGTCCAGGATCTGAGCCTGAAAAGCCACTCCCAGAGCTACTCGTGCTGTCCTCAACCAGGGGCCACCTGTTCTGAGTCCACATCTCTGACTCAGTAGATAGACTATACGAAGGCTCTCTAGCTACCTCAGATAGACCAACGGCAGATTTCCAAACATCTCCCTTCAAGAGAAAAGGGAAACTATCCACCATCCAGAAAACCTTTAAGCCTTGCAAATGATAAATACCAGTAGCAAATTCAAATAAATTTTAGCAGTAATAGAAAGGATGATAACCACAAAGTATCTCTCATAAGAAGGACGGTTCTTAAAGAACTGTCTAATCAAGATGGCGATATCGGGACTTCCCTGGTGGTCCAGTGGTTACAAATCCGCCTGCGTTGCGGAGAATACGGGCTGGATCCCCGGTCGGGCAACTGGGCCCCCGCGTCATAACTATTGAACCCTCGCTCTACAACCGGAGAGTCCGTGGGCTACAACGAAAGCGCCCCTGTGACACAACGAAGAACCCACGCGTGGCAACCAAGACCCAAGGCAGCCTGATAAATACCAGGCAACAACAGAAGATGGAGACGTAATTAACTTTGGAAATTCAAATGGGCAGAATACCTCACCTCTTAAGAGTCCAAAAATTGCATCCGTACATTCAGTACTGACTATCAAAGCGAAATAATCCATGAACTTGAAGTCATGGAAGGACTCCTTATGAACCTATGATCAGTATCATTTTTTATTCATTATCATATATGTAAATACTCCCTTGCATTCTATTGTTCTTGCAAACTTGTTTTATGCCCCTTTTATTAAAAAACATATGAAATGTAAAAGAAGATAAAATCTAAATAGAGCCTTTTACTCTCAAAGCTTGGTTTAGAATTTTCTGAAGTGTTTCTGATTCATAATATTGAAAATGATCATTTTAGATTTTAGCCTGAAAGCAAGCAATCTTGTGGATAAATTTAGATCCTGCCATTCAGTTGATATTTTAAAGAACCACTTGAAACTGGAGGGTTTTTGTTTGAAAAAGAATGTAGAGTTATTAGTTGGCCTATTTATTTTATGAAAGACCAGGACCACTTAACAACCCATCAAAGTAATTAGCATCATTAAACCTCCGGGTGCACTCAGTTCTGTGTATTAAATACAATAAACCTAGCTTCTGGGGCATGCGGTGGTGTTGGGGGCAGGGGAGGACCCAGGAAACAAGCTTTGAATTGTAGTTTCACAATTTGGGTTTTTAACAAATCAGATATTACATTATATTTTACCTCATTACTGAGTTTTTAGTGCCCCTTTAACCAATGAAGTTGAGTGCCTTGTCAGCTTGCCTTCGTACCAGCCATGTATTTGAGAACTCTGCCATGCACTTCGCAACCATGCACAGAGCTTTATGGACGACTGCTAGCAATCATCAGGACAGCTTAACACCAGAAATCTAAGCACACGAGGCACCAGGACACCACGCCAACTCACCTGGGGTCACAGTCGATGAGGGCCCAGCCGCCGTGGAACTTCTCGTTGCCGGGCAGCAGTAACTTCATGTAACTCTGCAAGAGCTGGCTGATTAGCTCCTGGTGGCTTCTCTGATTCTCCTTCTGCAGAGCTTCGTGTTCTTTTTCCTTGGTGAATATGGAATAAAGATCTTCTGTCACCGGAATGCCTTGCATCAAATCTAGAGTAGAAAGTGTTGATATCTATCATCGTCTTAGTTTACTAATACATTTTTTAAAAGCAAAAGAGAATACAAGACCTAAAACAATAAGACTCTAATTTTAAAAAATAGGCATAAATCTTTGTGACCTTGGACTAGGCATGGTTTTTCTTTTTTTTTTTTTATATGAAACTAAAGTCACAAGCAACAAAAAGACAAACTGGACACCATCAAAATTAGAAACTTTTGTGTTTCAAAGGAAAACGCCATGAAAGTTAAAAGGCAACCCACAGAGTAGGAGTGAATATTTAAAAAATCATCTATAAGGAACACGTATCCAAGAATATATAAAGAATTCCTGAAAGTGAAAGTTAGTTGCACAGTCATGTCTGACTCCTTGCAATCCCAGGGACTGTAGCCCATCAAGCTCCTCTGTCCATGTGATTCTCCAGGCAAGAAAACTGGAGTGGGTTGCCATTTCCTTCTCCAGGGGATCTTCCCAACCCAGGGATCAAAGCCAGGTCTCCTGCTTGCAGGCAGATTCTTTAAGAACTGAGCTACTAGGAAAGCCCTACAACTCAGTAATAAAAGAATTATTATTAATTATTATCAGTAATTAAAAAATTCCTACAACTCAATAATAAAAAGACAAATAAGCCAATTTTAAAATGAGCAAAGGAACTGAACAGACAAGTTAACTTCTTCCTGGTGTAGGATGCAGCTCAAAGCTTATTGACAAAATCATTGTAATCCCACTCCTTACACATGTTTGGGACAGTAAGGCTAGAGGCTTCTGGAAGAGAACTGCCAACCACTGGCCTTTTATGGGGAAGCAGTGAGCCCAGACTGCTACTAACTAGCCCTTCTCTCTCAAACTTGGAAGAGATTTAGCTTCAGGGTTAGGATGAAGCTGATATTACTGATGGTCAAAACGAGAGAGGAACAAACTCTGGGTCCTCAGTGACCTACCTGAATTGCTAGATCAACCAACAGAA